CACCAGTCTGCATTTCACTTTTTAATGTACAGTGTACTGTCAGGATATTAAAATCCTTTCAGAGAACGTATTAAGAAAAAAAAATTAAAGATTAACTAAAAAGTTACAGTCAGTTCTAAGTCAAAATAACTCAATGATCAAAGTAAAAAAAAAAATTACTTTGGGAGGGGATTAAAAACTTAGGTACTGAAGTCCCAAAGTCCTTTCATTTTCTTTTAATGTTACTTCTTTTTACAGCCTATGAACAGAACATTGCAAACTTTGGATTAAGAGTCAACACTGACTATTCAGGTAAACGAATGAAGTTTCAGCAACTGCTGCAGTATTATTTTTTTTATTTATAAAAAAAACCTCCTTCTTTAAGATGAACATCCAAATCCTACATTGTTGATTAGATCTCTTACTCCTGAAAGCATTGAGACTACAAGTTGCCACCTTTGCAAGAATTTAAATATACTCTAAGTTATCATTTCTTTAAAGTAGCAGCATAATAACAGGAGGTGAAAGAGGTGGGGTTTGGTTTTTGTTTCAGACAAACGATGAACATTAAAGTGACTTGGAGTGTTTCTGCTGAGGAACGACAAAAACACCCGTAAGTAATCTTGACTGGGTAGTGATGCTACCCGCTCTATGTCAGGAGAACTTATCCAGCCAAAGGCTCTCTGCAAAGTGAATGCAGATACCAGATTTCTTTCGGCAGGACTTAGACTCCCACTAGCCGTGTGGGTATGCTAAATGTAGCTCGTCCACATCAAGACTAAGACACAGATACAGGAATACACAGCCCTGCTCCATTCCTTTCGCCTGTTCCCATTTTTCCTGTCTATGCATTTGCATCCCCACTGTGCGTCAGTCTTGGTGCTTACCAAGGTTTCCAGCCCTTGACTCAAAATAGCCTAAAACCCCCCACCATTTTGGTCAGGACAGTCACTAACCCAGCTGAACGCTACGCCAACCTTGCAGCGGGGGCTGCCGAGTACTAGCAGCAAAGTCATGACAGTGAAGGGACAGAGGCACACGCTAGAAAAGCAAAAGCTGGTTTCAGTACAAATAAGCCGTCCAGTTACACGCTCATTCGGCGATGCTTTCTCTCTTTGCCAGTCTAAACTTACGGGGAAACTGAGCTGCAAAGCAATGCGATTCCACTCACTAGTAATCATCCTAGAGGTGTCCTTGCTCCTCTTCGAAGGATTCTCGATCTTTCAGGGTTTTTTGCTTAAAAGCTGCAATACTCCATTCAAAAATGCTTTATTTAAAAACTCATTTAGCAAGGAGACAGACTACAACTGCAAACATTTCCTTGGTGTACAGGCAGAAGGAAGCGTGCTAGCAACAGGAAAGTTCACAACAGCTGCTAAATGGCGCTTTAACGACAGTCAATGGATACACAGGACAGCAGCAGTAATCCTTTAAAATGGTGAAAACTTCAAAATCTGAGAAAGAGGATTGTTTCGGGAGTGCGTACACTACAAAAGACTTGCAAGTTAAGAGCTCAACAAAGCATTCAGCACAATATTATCAAAATTGCCTTTGCTGGTTACAGCAATACAACACACAACAGCGCCGTACAATGCAATCTGTTCGCAACCAAACAGCACGGAGCTGCTCTGCTCCCCGCGACTCGAGCGCTGGTACCGCTCTGTCACGCCATAACGCAACCTGAAGCACCTGTTGCCTCATGACATTTTAACAGCTTAAGGGAAGTACAGTCTGGTTTTGAACCCTTTTCACTGACGTGAGCTTCTGGCTGCTACCAGAACGACTCTCCACCCTCACACTCCGAGTACAGCCACTTCTTCAAACACACTGACAACAGAGAAACAGGGTAAATTAGTTCTGGGCCAAAAGAGAGCAAGCTGCACCTTTTACTTATATAACTCATGAAAATTAAGCACTTCTGCACCCTCTTGAACACATCAGAACTACAGAGCATAACCACTTCAAGCAGCGAGCACCACGGTGTGGACAGTCTCTGTCAGAACAGCCCAGGCACATCACAGAGCAGTCAGAGATCGATCGCCCACGCCCAAGTGCCAAGGCTACTCAAGCTCTTCCAGAAGGAGATGTGTACTAGGACACTGCCTCAGGTTCCCTTTGCCACCGAGACTGTTGTAGGATACTCTCGAGTTCTTAACAGAACGAACTGGTATTTTAAAATTTCTTTTGCAGAATGCATTCGTTTTGTACCGCTGGGATGCTCACTACATCAAAGACAAGTAAATATTCACCCCTACATCTAGAGAGCATTTCCAAAATATTGACAGGAAGGTATCAGGCAGGATGAACTCCTCTGTCTTTTTAAAAGCTACCAGCTGCGTTTCTGTACTCCGCTCCTTGGGGCCCTGAGCACCTCACACCTAGCATCCCGGGGAACACGGCCTCCTGCACCGCCTGCGACGGCTGAGCTGAACACGGTGTGAATTAAGCCACAGAAACAAACTCTTTTACGTGTTTTTATTACAGAAAAACAAAAGGCATACACTTGACTTTAAAAAGCAGCATTATTTTGTGAATTAGACATTTATACAGTGAAGTTGCTTTAAGAAACCTTTAGAAACCAAAGGAAAAAAATAAAATGCCAGACCCCCCCCTCAGGCAGCATTCTAAATCACTCGCGTCACCCCTAATTTCACACCACTTCCGACACCCAGTAAATGACTTTTATGCTTTTCTTCTCCCTGTGTCCCGTCGAAGATAGCTGGGAGAAGGATTTGGTGAAAATGGCAGTACATTTCAAGTTTAATTGTCGACACTTCAGTTCACATCTGATCAATATTTCAGTTCAGAAGTGACTGAGACGCACGCTTTCCTCCCAACTCCAGCAGGCAAGTGTTAGAGTTTTAACAGATCCCAGAGCGGTCTGCTTCTTACACCGTATTTATCATAATCATGTCCAGATCTCAGAAGACTTCCCAGCAAGTTGTCTGGCTACTACTGATTATAAACACAAACAAAAATAACCACAAAAATGAAAGCTCAGAGTTGAAACAGTTCTTAGCAGCACAGCAGAATCCAGAATTTATTCATTTTTTAATTACACACCATAGAAGGAACAGCAGCGTTCCAGTGACCACTTCAGTCTTTTTATTGAGTCAAAAGCTGCAGGTTTCCAGCCTGAGCCAAAATTGAACATGTAATTGAGCCATATTTGAAATCTTAAGAGAGACAAATCAACAAAACATATTACTGCCTTAATAGTCCTACATTTTAACTGTCAGCACTGAGTTGTGCTAAGAAGTACAAAGAAATTTACAGGCTTGTCATCAAGTGATTTAAAAAAAAAACAAAAACAAACAACTCAAGAGCTCTACACCATGTTAAAAAACTTTCTAAACACATTTTTAAGCACCTCGCTCTTCAAATAATGCTAAAACTACACCTCAGATTCTGCCAAAAAACCCAAAATAAAATCAAAAAGCAAGAAAACGCAGGTCACTATGTACAACCAGCTATAATGACCAAAAAAAAAAAGGAAAAGGCAAATCATAGAAGGAAAAAGGAGAAAACAAAAAGGAAAAAACCCCGTTCAGACACCTGCTACTCAGTGTTCTAAGAATGCATTTTTTCCCTCTCCTCCCAAAAGGAAAAAGTTTAGACTCAAAATCAGACACGGAATTTCTCTGAAAAAAACTCCTTATCTCCTTAGGTATCATTTACACTGTTTGATAATGCAAATCCGTGAAGTCAGGCATCTCCTTACTGCACTCTGCACTGCAACATGAAGCCAGCTGCTACCAAGCTACTTAAGCAGAAGAAACAAGTTGCTTTCCTACAAGGAAAAAGGGTGCGGTGCATTTTCCCTGGTTACGATTTATATCATCAACAGGTTTACTTAAACATGGAACTTATCTATTTAAGCTTACCCACGGCTTTTATTAAGAATTCCTTAATTTGGTGCTATAACACAGTAGTTTCCTGTGTGATGAAGCTGTCTCATAAGGAGGACATTAAAATCTGTATTATACAGTAACGCAGCCTAAAAGAAAAAGAAAAAAGAAAAAACCCAACATGACTACTTCAGAGGAAGAGCAATGTTCTGCAGTACTCTCCAGGACACCACCCTCAAAGGCTGCTTTACAGCTTATCCTTAGAGATTTTAACCCTGGACCCAAATTAGTCCTTTCCACAGTCACCAAAAGTGACTTTGATGATCAAACCGGTAACGAAAACGCCTCACACTGACCAACCTCTATGAATGTTAATATTACGCTCTATTAGCTCCCTCCTCTAGAGTACGTAACAGTCTCAAACACAAGTATCGACACCAACGGCCTTGAAGATATGTAACAACCCAACGAAACGCTGTAAACCAAAGGAACGCCAGTCCAAAAGCCTGTCATACAGTCAGAGGGAGTTGGTACTAACATCTTCCTTTATCAGGTTGTACTGTGGCTTCGGAAAACTTAAAGATCATTTGCACTATAAGTTTGTGTAAGCACTCACACAAAACAACAGAACAGGCAATCATGTTCCAAAAGGTTTATAACTTAGTTTCCCAATATTTTTAGCTGCTAAAGCACTAATAAAAGACTTAACTTAGCTTCTAACTCCCACATCCTATATCAAGTAAACATTCTTGACTGCCAATAATTATGTTATTACATGGTAAAACACTCCTCTAATTCCTAACGATTTACATTTAACTTGAGAAAATAGAAAAATTTGGGGGGGGTTTCCAAAACAATGTGCAACAGACAGAATACTCTAAGCTGTCTTTAGCTATCAGACTCTGAAAGACCTTACAGATCTCTTAATCTTTCTTAGTTTTCAGCCTTCATTTTCCAGGAATGAGTGTTCAGCTGGGCTACACTAGTAGTAGTTCATCACACACACTAAGGTCAAGTAACATTATCTTTATCTCGCTGTTCTGGTTCCGGAAATGAACAATTCAAAGCTCTTCAAAAAAACAGTGTAGAATTGTACCAGCGAATTTCTTCAGGTCAAATTGCTCTTTGTTAATCTATTAAAGACAATTAAGAGAACACCCATGGGTTTTTTTCTGTCAGTTTCTGAGAAAATTTGAATACATGCAAGTCAAAACTACCATAACGCAGACAAAAAGGTCCTCTTTCATGAAGATCATCAATAAATGACTACCTTCAATAAATAAGTCTATTTGGAAATCCTAGAGAATTCTTTTGCTAAACAAGTTAGTCTTTTTTCTTTTCCATTATGTCTTTCTGTTTAAGCTCTCCATCTGAAAGTTCTGTGTATTTCCCATTCTTTTCCTCCTCTTGTTCTTCCTCACTGCCTTCGTCCGTGAGCTCCCGGTCCTTTTTAGCTGCCTCATGATCATCTACCCCTCCGTCGGTATCAGCTGTGCAGATGCCGTAACACATAATGCTGATGACCCCCAGGGGCAACCCAAAGAGAAAACATCCCAGGAGTGGTGAACTCTTGAACACCGACTGTTGAAACACAAGTTTGAAGCAAAAAACACTTTCAGTGAATATACAAAAATTACCATTACAATTACTTGTCTTATTACTCTGTGTATTTCTTCAGAAACAACCAAAGTGACAGAGTCAGGGTTTTGGTTGTTTGTTTTGTTATTTGTTTTTCAGAGAGGAGGAGGCCTTATTGTAACAATTCCTACTATACATTCATAAAATAAGACTTAGAAGTTCAAACACCATAATGTGGCACTGGGACAGTTAATAACATGCCAACTGTACAGCCCATTCATGGTTTGAAACTTGAGAAACAATTGTTCTCCAAGTGTTAAAAGAACACTTTGAAGCAACCAGCTTCATCTCCTCATGTGCCTCATTCTCAATAATTAGTAACAAGGAGTCTGCAGAAACATTCTGTTATTGGACAGCTTCCTATGAAGAGCAGTTCAACAGTACAGGAGGAAGAACTTTTGGTTTCAGAAACCGACAGCTCAATGTTGCACGTTCACAGAGGTTTGGAAGCAACTCGCACAGGAACGTGTGAGTTCCAATTTAAATTCATAGCTCAGGTGTTTTTGCTTGTGTAGGACAAGTGAAGAAATGGATTTGTATACATCTTCCCAACAAAAGTCTATTACGCATAATTAACCTACAAGAAAGATGCTAAACGTAGCTGCTTTAAAACTACACCAAGTGTAGTTTTAATCCCTTTAGGCTCTAACTAATCAGACTGAAACTGTAACACTTCTTAGAACATGAAAGTGTTATCAATTTCAGTGAAAGGATGTCAAAAGAGTCAAGGAAAAGATTTTGAATTCTCCCTGTTGTATCCCTTAAAATACATTTCAGTCTAATACAGAAAAGGAGCACAGAATGAGAAACAGACAAATATTTAGGACGCTGGACAAGTATTACCAAAAACTTTAATCAAGAAATTCATTTGGCTTAAACCTAATGTATATATACCTATAATATATACTCTACAGTATAAACAAACTTCTATAAAAGTATTTCTAAACCCTCTGAAAATACTTGCATCTTGATTGACAAGGGCATCATCTAATTTAACGAAAGATAAAACTTACTACTACAGTAGACTTGGCATCATAGATTATTCTCTTGATTCGTTGCAGAAGTCCATCACCACCCTGTGCCTGAAATTTCAAATGGAACCATGTCAAAACTGCTGACACTTTTCAGTTATGAATCCAAAAGTTCATTCTTCAGACCTTGCAATCTTAAGTCCCTTTAGAAGGAAATGAAAAGTAATTATTCTTGCATCTCGTGATGCCCAGACACTCCAACTTCTCAAGCATGGACAAACATTTCAACAGTCTCATGAAAAATTCTCTCGCAATTGTTGTAAACACTCCCCTCTCTTACCATCGAGGAACCCAAACAGGAACTACCAACTGTCCTGCGGTAACAGAAAATTGCAGAGATCTTCTGGAAAAAGAGATCATCTGCAGCAGGCGGGTACCTATTTACGGGTTACGAGAGAAGCAGTTAGAAAAATCTAAGAACTAAGTAACAAGAAGATACGAAGCTTAACAAAGAACATCTGTGTCCAACAATGACAGATGCACCTACACTGCCACCTAACTTAGCAGCCTTCAAAATACCACATAAATCCAAAGGCAATTTGTCTGTTGAACAGGATCTGTCTTCACCTGCCTTGAGAAACAGACAAACCCACATTGTGGAAGTCAGCTGATCAGCACTTGACCCTGACCAAAACTCCTCACACTACAAAAAAGTCCACAAAGATGAAAGACTCACAGAAGGCTACCTACAGGTCAAGGTGAATAACCCAACACTTCCCAAGGAGGGGACAGGGGGAATGTTACACTTCTCAGAATGTCACTGTGGCTCAGAAAGTCAGCATCCTATTACTTGTTTACCAGCACACTTTGAAGACTGTCATTCCTCAACAGCTGCACAATTTCTTGGGTCCGAACGTAGCCAAAGCAGTGCCATTTCATGTCTATAGACACCATTCAGCTTAAACAAACTCACATCTATATGGTTTGTCTTGTATTAGCACTCTGAGACACAGAGAGATGTGAATTTAGACAGACCTTTAATCATTCTAGCTGAAATATTGCAAACAAAATGTAGAAAGACCTAAGTGACACTATGACAAAAAACACAAGGCATCACAAATGAATTGCCACAAAGTTACAAAACAAACAGAAACCAATTTCATTCGTTGTTTCAACCAGAAGGCTATATGTAGATAGAGTCAAACAGATGTTGATGACATAATTCAGTGCAACTAACAAAGCACAAAAAAGTTGAGAACTAGAGAACAAAGAACCACCAAATAAGTTACAGGAATACCCCTCACCTTGCAACTGGAAGCAGGCCAGTAAGTCATGAACAGCAAGCAAATCCACCTGCATTATGTGGCTACCTCAATCTGTCAGATTAAATACCCCACAGGGCTGAACGCTCCACAGCATTACTTGTCAGTCCCAGCTGATGACCTGACACGGCCGGCACGACGTCAGGCTGGCTCAACTACATGGCAGCATTTGACAGACACTGAACTGGGGCCTAAACCAACACAGGCTTCTCCTAGGAAGGGGCCAAACGATTTGTGAGTACTGGCCCCTCCACGACAGAGCCTGCTTGCTCCATAGATGCAAAGGAAAGCTCTGATCCATAACCCCTTTCCTCACCCACACCACATGGCCTTCTGTCCAACTTACAGCACACTGAGGGAAGAAGCACCCGGATTTGTTTTGCCAACATTAAAAACCTGTCCAAGCCACCAGTTCCAGAGGGATTTATTAATTGTGTTGTTTTAACAAGACTGCTCATCTTTAGTTTTTGAGCACAGAGGGGTAAGCTTGTGCCTGTCTGTAACAAGCAAGGCAAGTATACCACTGGGTTTTGAGTCTGAACCTACCATCCATCAAGTTATTTGATTTATTAATCTACTGCCCAAAAGAAAGGGTAGAGTTGAATCACGCACTATAAAGAAAATTTTAAACAAATGCATTTAAATCAAAGCGGAAATTAACAAAAAGTTCCCCATTTACCAGTGACACCAGTAAGGAGGATCAACAGAAGTCAGCTAACATTATGCTATAAACAAAAAAAAGCTTGTTTTCTACAAGAGGCTCTGCAGTCACAACAGTGAGCAAGGAAACAGCTCAAGAACTCACAATCACATCTTCACTGACAGCACGCAGACAGGCAGACAGACAGGACAGGAAGATAAAACACAAGGCACAACAATCAGAGTGACCACATTTTTTCCCTACTTTAGCATCTAAGGAAATAAATACCAAATGATATATTCCAAATGACAATGAAGACTTACTTCAGCTGTACCATCCAAGATATTGTTAATAAACTGAACCATGTCTTCGGTGTTCTCAATGTGCCTATCTGGTAGAAAATACTGCTGATTGGAGGTATTCAATACAACAATAGTGGGGATGGTCAAGTCACTAGAAACATAAAACAAATAGTTTATACATTTAAAGAACTACTGTGTAAAACAATGCAATTCAAATAATTCCTAGAGCATTTAAAAGGTTATCTGTTAATCTTCACTTCATGTGTGCTCCTTAGAGCAGCTCCTCAAAGGCAAGAGGGAAGGGGGAAGAGAATCATCTGAAAGGTATGAGCATGTTTTTCGTTAGCATTTTTACCTTCACAGGTGGGACAGTGACACTACTGAAGCTTATTGCATTTCACATACCCCTAGTGACTGCAAATCAGGTATGTTAGGACTTGCCAATTAGTAAGAGATCACAAATGGTCACCTCGTATATGAAATGTGCTATTAGCACAACACAGTAAGTGCTTTAGTACACAAAGGCAAAAGTATAATCCAAAAATTCGTTCCCATACAGTCACAGTCCAACTGATCAGCTCTACCAAACCATCTCTACCTGTCAAGTCAAAAGAATAAGCCATACCAACCACAGTTTTTCTACATCTCTTTTAGATACTGCAGATGAACAACAGCGATTTTAAACAATTATTGCTCAGCAGTTGACCTTCGCATGCATAAGCATTGTATAGAATCACAGAATCAGAAAGAAAGAAAAAAGAAAAAAAATATATAAAAAAGGTTAGAGATTATCTCTGAAAAAAATCAGTTTAATCTACTGTTCAAAGAAGCCCTAAATTCCAAATTAGATCAGGTTTAAGAAAATTTAATACTGCACATGTACATTGTTCAGTAAAAAAGATTTTAAATATATTAAATAAGTAGGTGAAAAAATCTTCTGTACTCTGCCAATTTTCTACTGTTCTGTCAATAACAAATTTCAATACCAGGTAGCTTCCCTTCACAGCAGAAGCAATGCAACCTTGTTTTTCTAAATTTTCACTCATGTCTAATAGAGCCCCACGGATGTACATTTGCAATCCATGTAATATTGATGATGATTTCAGCCTTAACTGTGTGTACCCAATTACGTCACAGGAGCAGGCTGTCCCTGTGTGACAAAAAACGAGTTGGTGGGGAATACTGGCCTGGCTGAATAGGGACCTTTGGCACGACCTCAGGAACAAAAGGAGAATTTATGACCTTTGGAAGAGGGGGCAGGTCTCTCATGAGGACCATAAAAAAGTAGTGAGGCTCTGCAGGGAGACAATTAGGAAAGCCAAAGCCCAATTAGAACTGTCCACAGCTGTTAAGGACAATAAAAATGTTTCTATA